ATTCTCTTTCTATCATGTTTAAATAATTAATTATATACTTATGAAAAAACCATGGAACAAAATATATAATTTTGTTTATTTTTGATAAATAAGAATAAAACTCATTTTGTATAATTGTTAACTCTTTTTTAGAAAATTCTTGGAATAACCAAATTCTAAAAGGTTCCCATTTTTCTGTTTTAAATTCATTACAAATTATTGTTCTTGTCGGTGATCCCGGACTAAAATTTATTATTTCTTCTCTATCCATTAAATTGGAAAATTCATTTATGAGGCAGTATGATCCTCTTCATAGACACCTTGGACTATATTTTCTTTTATATTTAATTGATTTATTTTCTTATCTAGTTGAGACGTAGAACACCGAGAAGGAGTTTCTACCTTATATTCTAAAGGCGATATATGTGAATATAAAGATCTAGTTGATCTAGTTCTTCTTAATAAAGGTATTTCTTCATTATCATTTTCGAATTCTATTTGAATTCTTCCTTCGGGTGTTTGTATAATTTCTGTAATTTTATTATTCATTTTTGGTTGAGGAGGAACCGTTCCTTCTAAAACCCAATTCTTTGGAAAATCTATTTCATCCCACTTAATAGCTTTTCTAGTTGTTATTTTTGACATATCAAAATTACTTTCTATTAAAATGGTTTCATTATTAGGTTTATTAGTTCTTTTACACCTTGGATTCATTGTTTTTAAAGGCCTGTAGTATATTCTATAACATATACATATCAATTCAGATCCTGGCATATAATTGTATCCATTTGTTTTAACATTTAAGGTTAAAGCATCAAGTATATTAACATCAGATAACGATAATTATAGGTTAGGATAAACATTAAAATATACTGGGCCATTAGTTAAACTGGACTGTATTATCCCCATTAAAGATTGTTTCCAATTCATATTACGACCATCACGTAGTACGGCTAAAAAACTTTCGGGTAAACCTTGTAAAGTTAGAGGTTTAACAGCAATTTGCACTAATCCTACATGTAAATAATTACGAGTATATTGATATCTATGGATATCCTCATATGTTAATAATTTAACAATCATATCATCTTGATTTATTGTTAAATTTTCTTCAGTTGTTTTAACTGATTGTATAAAACCTAATTCTTCAAAAGTACCTAACTCATATAAAACTTTTGGTTGTATTTTAGGAATTGTCCATTTATTTAGTAAATCCAACTGTTTTGGTATTTCATATTCTTCATTTATTTGATTTTTGACATTATTTCTATTATTCCTTTTGAACATGTGAAAATTCATTTGGAAAATAAGTGTTAAATAATCTTATGAAACACATGGCTCTAATACCATAAAACACATGGCTATTATTATCGTCGTCGTCGTCGCCGCCGCCGCCGCCGCATTTAACGTTGTTTTTACGCATATTTACAAGGAAAACCTTTATAAAAGAGTTTTTAAAAAATGTTAAAAAGTTTATAACTGTTTTACAACTATTTCTAATTATTTTGTTTAACATTATATATATATATATATATATATATATATATATATATATATATATATAGGTTCGGTAAGAAATAAATATTTGGTAGGAATGGTAAGAAGTGCAACATTTGTATGATTTTTGGCGAATCAACAAAATGAATTTTTATATAATACAAATTAATATGATTTGTAAAAAATTCTAAAGAAAATGCATCGCTGATTTATTATTGCAATGATTCACTAATTTATGAATCATGTTATATTTGTACTAACTAATGATTTATTTCGTTGGTTGACCAAAAAACATACAAATGGAACACGCATACGTACGACACACACACACACACACACACATATATAGTTAGATATATGAAAAAGTTTAATAGAAAACTATTATTAATCAAGGAACTAGGAAACCAATCTAAAACATCGAAATTTAAAACGATCAACCGCAAAAAGAAGGGTTGCAGACTTTTACAATGGATGTGCATGCATTAGATTATACCAAAACCCACTTCTTTTTTTAGTTTTATTTTTTTAGGCCATGTTTTTTTATCGAAAAAACCGGAGATACCATTGTTCATGATACTTCGTTCTCTTTCCATAGAGATTCATATTGATATATAAAAAATGATTTTTTTTCAAACAAACCCACTTCATTCTCTCTATTTTTTGAAAAGTTAAGGTGTCTCACCCGTTTCAGGTAGAAATTTAATTTTTTAAATGACAATATTGTTTTGGGTGGCCACAACATGGTGGAGCCTCACCACGACATGACATTATCTTTTGGGTCGCGGGTTTTCATGGATCACCACGGCGTGACCATGAGGTGCCACAACGTGGCAACCAATATTGGTGAAACCCTAATCCTTTGGGCTTTGAGCCCTATTTAAAGGACTTTATGGATAGGGTTTCGAGGTCATTCAGCCTCCATCACCCTCGCAAGCACTAAAAACCCTAACCCTAGCCTCCATTCTTGGAGGTTCATTCTTCATATTTTGTTGGCATCTTTGAAGGAGAAGGAAGCCTTGGGTGAGTATTATCATCTTGCAAGCAACATATTCATCTTCTAGCCTCTCTTCTAAACTTGGGTGAGTGTTCAAGACTTAATCTTTTCCTTGCTATGTTGTTGGATCTTGGTTTTTGGCTCCTTTTTCTTCATGTGTACTGGGTTTTGGAAGATGAGATCTCATAAAGCTTGCAACTTTATGAATCTCTAGGCCATTTGGAGCATTTAACTCTTTGGATCTGAAGTAGACTTGAGTTTTGAGGCCATGCATGAACCGTTGACTTTGAACCAAACTTGACTTAGGGGCATTTTGGGTATTTTGATTAGTAGTTGAGCTTAAGTGATTGTGATTGTATAAGTGGCTGGTAGAGTCAACATTTGGAGCAGTGATATGTATAGCTATTTCTTTAGACTGAGAGGTGAGTTTTCCTTACTATACTCGTGGGTCAAAGGCACAAATACCAGCGCACAAATACCAGCCCACTAGGTTGTGTACCCTGGTTATAGGATGGTGTTATGCTAGGATATGACTGATTAGTAGATCTGTATGATTATCTATATTTGCTAGTTCTGTATTTATGTCTATCTGTTATATATGTCGACATATTGTGGTTGGGTTGAGGCGGTCCTGCTTTGTGCTGAAAGCCAAGATACCTGGGTCGGTCCAGATAGGCTGTAGGCCCTTCGATACGGTCCAGTCATGTCGAAGGCCGTAGAGCGTTCTAGATAGGTCGTAGGCTCTGCGAGGCGGTTTAGTCAGACTGAAGGCTCATATTTTCATGCTATAGTTTGTCATGTTGTGTGATAGTATTTTGAGGGAACTCATTAAGCTTTGGTTTACAGTTTCAGTTTATTGTTTCAGGTACTTTAGACGATCGTGGGAAAATGAAAGGTTGATCATGCACATCTTCCTATTTTCATAATATTGGATTTTGGGACTCTGATATGATTTTACTTTTGAAACAGTGGTTTTCTTGTAAACAATTATGGAAAATGGGCTATTTTTAAAAAATTAAAATTTTTGGAGTGTTGCATAAGGTCTATTTTTTTTTATCGAAAATAATAATTAATATATCAAAATTCATATTTTTTTTGGTACTATTTAAACATAGATTCATATTTATGTAAAAAAAAAATCAGAATTTCAGTTTAGATTCACATTATGAATCTGCTCAGATTCACAGTGTAAATAATAGTAAGTCATATTCATATTGTGAATTCTGAAAACTGAATTGTATACAGTTCAAATCCACAATGTGAATAAACTCATTTGTTGATTTTACAAAATTAGTTTATGAGTAATCAAAACGTTAAAATATTATAATATTACATAGAAATATATTTTGATTCATATGTAAATTTCATTAAATTAATTTGTGAATGATCAAAGAGTTAAAATAGTAAGTCAGATTCACATTGTGAATGTTAAAATTGAAATATTTATAGTTCAGATTTACTGTGTGAATTTGAACTGATCAAAAGTTTTTTTTAATCAATGTTGATGTTTATTAATAGTAGACAAAAATTGAAAATTTTGGTATAATTGTTTTTGGATAAAAATAAACTTAAATATTGGTAAAAAACAACAAAACAAAGTGGTTTTTTTTTAGGAAAAAAGTTTGTTTTTTATATCAACATGAATTTCTATAGAAAGAAGACGAAAAATCATGAACGGTATATTCAATTTTTTTTTTTTTTTTTTTTTTTTTTTTTTTTTTGATAAAAGACATGGCCTAGAAAAATTTTAACGAAAAAAATAGGTGAATTTTTTTGTATAATCTGGTGTATGTATGTCCAATGTACAAATCTGCAAATATTTCCTTGGCCGTTATTCGTTATTATTTTCGACGTTCACGATTAGGTCTTTGGTTCTTTATTAATAATGGTTCTCTATTAAACCTTACCTTTTATATATATATATATATATATATATATATATATATATATATACACACACACACACACGATATATATACAAATATACACACGTTTGTGTGTGTAAAAAATACGTATAACATGGAAAATCGTAAGTAATAAAACGTCAAAAAGTGTTAAAAAAAAGCTTTTAAAAGTGGTAATGCAAGTTTAAAAATGGTTGTGAAATGTTATAAAAAACTGTTAAAAAGTTAAATAAAAATTGTATAAAAGTGTACAAAAAACTTAGAAATATAGTAATATTAGTTTAAAAAGGCTGAAAAAATTTATAAAAATGTTACAAAAAGTCTATAAAAAGTTTTAAAGAAGCCTTAAAAGTTTAGAAAAAAAAGTAGTCAAAAAACTTGGTTTGTAAAAAATTTATTTATGGAAAATTTGTAAAAAGAAATATCGAACCAAATTCATAATAAAGTTTAACTAAAACATAGGCCAAAACTATAAAATTGAAAAATGACTTGTGTACTGCGAAGGAAATTGCTTACGCAGTTTGTTGAATATACTGCCTTGTTTAATTTTTTTTGCAACTTGACAGTAACAAACCATTTTTTTCGAAACAGTTTTAGAAATGGGCCATCTTTACAAACACTCCCTTATTCAACTAAAATTTTATTTTAATGTTGAAAGGAAAAACTTACTTGAAAGTTCAGTGCGTCCTCAATCCCCCTGGTGATCCTCTTCATGGTTGGACGATCGTTTAAGTTGGTACTAATACATCGATAAGCAATCTTCTTAAATGTATACAACGAATGAATGTTAATTTGATCTCTTATACTGGGATCAATGATCTTGTCAAGGCCATCATCATAGTAACGTTTGACCAGTTGTAGGAGTGTCTGTGGCTGACCATCATCAATGCTCCTTTTATCTTAAGCGAGCATCCCACTCAACATTTCAAACATGACAATCCCAAATGAGTACACGTCTGATCCTGCATTGACCATGCCACTTTCTTTGTAAATGGGATCAATGTAGAATTGGGTACCCGCACCAGGTTCGTAGACTTGTGGCTGATTTGGGTTCACAAATAGTGAAAGTTCAAAATTGCAAATTTTGGCGTCCAGATTGTCATCTAACAATATACTTGAGCTCTTCATGTCTCTATGAATTACTGCCCTGTTCTCCCCAAGACCCGAGTGAAGGTACTCGAGTCCTTTCGCAGCCCCCATACAAATCTTCATGCGCTGTGCCCATGTTAGAGAAATACTATTATTGGGGTTTCTGAGATGATGATTAAGGCTACCATTACTAGCAAATTCAGAAACTATAATCATTTCATTGCCTTGATCACAGTAGCCAATTAAAGGGACGATGTCTTCATGGTTGAAGCTTGACATCATCTTAAGTTCAGTAAGGAACTCATTTTTTCCTTTGTATCCGTTGTGATCCAAGCGTTTGAACGCAGCTGTGCGGTTTTGCCATTGTTTAGAGAGTTGTCCTCTGTAGACTTTACCAAACCCACCCCCTCCAATACAAGTTTCAGGACTGAAGTCTCTGGTGGCCTTTATGATCTCTTCTAGTGGAATTAGAAAACTTTCTGGGATATCATATTGAAGGCTTCCTATGGTAACTGTTGGAGAAGCACAGGGGTTCTGCGAATACAAACAGAACCAAGTTGGCAAGTTTGCTTAGAGGTATGTATTGATTCAGCCATTTACCTAAATAAATTATATTCAAGCACTTCCCATGTAACCATTTTTTTTTTTCATTTCTTTTATATATACATGACATAACTGGTTGGGGTTATGAAAATTGCAATTTTACAATTCCCTAGTTGACCTCTGTTTTTGTTCATATAGGTAGCTTGTTTTGTAGGCTGGACTGGACAGAACAAATATATATATATATATATATATATATATATATATATATATATATATATATATATATATATATGGCGTTTGACATGCTTAGAAAAGGAACAAATAAGTTTTTGACAAGTCAAATGTGACAATTTGTTAAAAATTTAGTTCCCCCCAAAATGGTGGAACATGATGGGACAAAACAGATAATTACAAAAAACCACTTAGCCTCCATGTGTCCTCACTACGTCTTGCACCTTGATTTTTCTCCCACAAACATTGTCTTCTCCATCTGAACATGATATTAATTTTTTACCCTACAAGTTTCATTGTGATTTTTCATGAGATTATTGGATCTTCACCGATTTTTGTTTTCCACAAACATTCAGCATCTTATTCTATTGAACCCTGTCTCTCTCAGAACCACGAATAAGTCTTACTCCTGTTTTTGTGTGTGTGTGTGTGTGTTTTTTTTTTGACAAAAAGGATCCATTATTTTTTCATGAAATTCTAAGATCCCATATCCGGAGCATTGTTTCTTGAATCCATCATGCCAGTTTTAGGTGATCAAATGTTCATCTAGAACACCATCGTTCTCTAGAGGTGTATTTTGTTAGTCCGATATACGGTATTTTTTTAGATTTCTATCTATCATGTACCCTTAAATTTAAGATAAAAGGAGATAACTACAAAATTCATATATTTTGGAAGTTTGATAAGATAATGGATGGATTTAAACCAAGTGGTTATAGGCTTCAGAATAGTCAAAAACATAGTCGTGGTAAAGACAGAAAAACTAGACTTCTTTTAATATATAATTAAATAAAAAGACTTACTTGCAAATCCAGTGCTTCCTCAATCCTCTCGATGATCACGTTCATAGTAGGGCGATCCTTTAAGTTCCAAGTTCCAACTAATGCATTGATAAGCAATTTCCTTAAACACATTGTAAGAACGCATATTAATTTGATCTCTTATATAAGGATCAATTAAGCTGTGGAGTCCCTCAGCATAGTAGCGTCGGACCAGATTTATGAGTGGTTGTGGCTGATCACCATCAATACTCCTTTTATGATAAGCTAGCATCCCGCTTAACATTTCAAACAAAACAACCCCGAATGAGTAGACGTCTAATTCTGTGTTGACAATGTCACTTTCTTGGTAAAAGGGGTCCATGTAATAATTGGTACCTGCAATACCTTCATAAGCTTGTGGCTGATTTCGCTCGACTAATATCGACAAACAAAAATTACTAATTTTTGCTTCCAGATTGTCATCTAAGAGTATATTTTGGCTCTTCACATCTCTGTAAATTACTATTCTGTCTCCACCAAGACCCGAGTGAAGATACTCGAGTCCTCTTGCTGCTCCATTCAAAGCATATTCAGAAACCGTAATCCTCTGATTTCGTTCATGACAGTAGCCAATGAAACGGATTATATTTTGATGCTGGAATCTGGAAATAATATTGAGCTGGTTACGGAACTCGGCATCTCCTAGGTAACTACCCGGATTAGCGAGATCGATGGCAACTGTGCGGTTTTGTAGTTGTCCTCTGTAGACATCAACAAGTCCATCATGATTGATGTGAGTTTCTGGACTAAAGTTGTTGGTGGCCGAAATGATCTCATCCAGTGGAATTACAAACTCTTCTAGGTGAACCCCTGATTCTGAAGAAGACATTAGACATTGTTTTATGAAATTAATTGCTGCCTTCGTATATATGTCAGTGTGTATGGTTCTGTGAAGATAAACAAAACTTAGTTCGCTTAGAGATGATGAGATATCGCCTTTGCATCTCAATTATTGTCATCGTCTTAATAAAATATCATAAACAGTTCCTGCCGGTGAATAATAAAATAACATTACTGGGCCCGTTTGATTTGGGTCTAACCGGTCCGGTCACACAAAAACACTCGGTCGGGTCAGCGTGGGTCAGCATGAGTAGCTGACTCGTTCCTATTTGTTTTCTTCTCATTTTTGCCATTTGCGTCACAGATCCATCGACATTCCACCTACCACAAAACCAACCATATCCCATGCCCTGTTCACGCACACAATAACCAAGAAAATCCACCACAAACACCACAGACCCTGTTTATCCTTTTAACGGTTTAACCCCAAACGAAAAATCACATCTGCGTGAGAGAGAAGGAGAGGGAAGCACCCTTTTACCTGTTGATTGAGACTAGGAGGAGTGAAACCTGCTATGGATCGAAGAGGGTGAGGGTGTTTTGGTAATAATGTTGGATTCTACCATTGGTGGTGGTTTGGTGGGTGGAGGCGAGGATTAGTTCAGTGCCAGATCGGGACTTACCTGGTTGTTCTTCCCACCGGAAGTGAACTGAAGCTGAGGTTTGGAGCGGTTGTGTTAGCATGGCCGATTGTTCAGGGAGGAATGGAACTGCCTGGAAAAGAGCTGCAGCTTTGGTAAGATAATTGGGTTGGATTCTACGTCCGATCTCATTCTTTCTCTAAAATTGAATGAAATGGAAAGAGAAAGGTGAAGAAAGGGTGTGTAATAAGACCATCTCTAAAGTCGTTCATTGCAATAATCGATTTACTATAATCTAGAAAGTTAATTGCTTACAGTTTTATAAGCTAAGAAAACAGCTCGAATTAATATCAGTAGATAAAAATAAATTAAAAATGTATAAAATAAAAATAAGAGGGACTAAAATTGGCAACCGAAAATTCAACTCCATTTTTGGAAATATGAATAGTATTACCCCAAATATAGGGAAATACTATTCATATCTCTAAAAATAAAGATGAAAATGGGATAGGATTGGAGGAGAATAGGGGAAGAAATGAAAGAAAAAATAGAGTTTGGGGTGGGTTGGAGATCCCCTAATCTATCCTTAAAAAAATAGTTTTACTTTGCCACATGTCAATTGCTAAGGCAAATTGCTATGTGTCAGTTTTTAGGCATCTATGCGTTTTTTGAATTCTACTCGCGTAATATCAACACGCCTGGAAGAAAGAGACACAAAGAGACACGCATTCTACCTATGTAAACGAGAAATCAGCTAGTGCTTACGTTGAATAGACACACTTTGTAACTATTAAGAACGAGAAATCAAGAATTGATCAGCGAAAAATTGAGTTGATTAGGATCATGAAGGTTATCCTATTCCAACTTATTGCTAAAACTCTCTATTTATTGCTAAAATTTGAATTCAGTAGCAAGAAATCAGGAATCATAATTATATCCAAACTTAATCATCAATATCTTGAAGGTAGATTCGAATGTGTTTTTTGTGACCATATGTTTCCGATACATAACCCGTCCAGAACAATCAAAAAATCCCAATATGCTTTCCTTACGTTGTACATTACATAAACCTACTTTTATTTGTGTTTGAAGGTTTAAAAAATAAGAAACATAAATGAAAGTATTATGTTATATTAGACAAAAAAAAGTAAATTATTATTTCATGCATTTGTCAATGATTAGGCTAAATACAATAAATAACAATTTGTTTTCATTTTTTTTTGTCTACTATAACATAATACTTTCATGTTACTATATCGGTAGAGATGGGCACAAAAAACCGGATTGGGCTCTCGGATTCGATCCGATTCGGAAACCGGATTTGGTCAAAACCGGTTTTGACCGACGGATTAAACCAGCCACTGGATCGAAACCGGATTGAAGCTTCGAACGCGAAATCGGATTCAACCCCAGATTGAGAATCGGATTCCGTTCAAACCGGATCCTAAACCGGTTTTTTTTTACCGTTGAACAACGGGAATTTTGAATTTTGAATTTTTATTTTTTATTTTTTATTTTTTATTATAGCCATTGGTAAGTGAAAAAAACGGCTAGTTTGACTTTTCTTGACTTTTTTGCCCTTCCAAACACATATAAATACAACCCATTTGCTCCATTTACATTTTACACACATTTCTACTACTTTATACTTCTATTTTCATAATCTTCTAAGAAATGAGCTCCCGAAATTCTATCGCGGCTCAAGAGTCGGATGCAACGGTGGTTAAAATCTTACCAACCACTCGGAGTAAAGATGTGTGGGAACATTACGATTTGTGTTTGTTGTCGAATGGGAAAGAAAAAGCAATGTGGGATGTTTTTGGGAAAAGATGGCAATAGTACGTTGAGGAGTCATACAACAAAAACGTGTCCGGTTGTAAAAGGTCAAGGCGATCCAGATCAACCAAATATTACTCCCGACGTTTCGATCTTTATTTACAACAATGATGACATTCGTGAAAGCTTTTGCAAGTTCGTCATTCAAGAGGGCTTGCCTTTCAACCACTTCGACAACCCACGATTAACAAAGATTTTGCGGGAAAAAATGCAACCACAATACCGTCAAGTAAGTCGCACTTCTCTTAGACGTGATGCTTTAAAGTTTTGAGATATAGCCAAAAAAGATATGTAATTGAGATTTTTAAATATGTGTTTCTTTAACTTGTGATGTTTGGTCCTCCACCGGTAGTTGTCCCAAAAGCTATCTTGCCGTCACGGCACATTGGATAGACCCCTCTATTTGGGTAATGAACAAACGAGTTATTGCTTTTGAACTTTTTGCGCATCCTCACACTGGGGCACGCTTATTTGCAATTTTAGTAAGCGTTATAGAGACTTATAATTTACGCGACAAAATCTTCTCTATTTCGTTTGACAATGCAAGTAATAATACCGCGGCGGCAAAAAGATTAATTGCAAAATATAAACCTATTTTGGATGGCTCGTTTTTTCATACTAGATGTGTTTGTCACATTATTAATCTTGCGGTACAAGATGGTCTAAAAATGATAGATTCGACGATTGAAAAATTCAAAACTGTGTTAACTAGAGTTTTTGGAAAAAATAAAGCTACAACGGAAAAATATCGAAAGTTTGCCATTTCCATAAACATAACTCCATATAGTCCTCATTGGGATGTTGACAATAGATGGAGTTCAACATGTATGATGTTTGAAAGTTTGACACGTCAAAGAATCGCTTTGCAATTATTTTAAGACACAATTTCAAAAGGAAAAAACCCGGTTTCGGATTATGATTGGGATTTGATGGAAGAGTTTGTGGAAATGTTAAAAGTTTTTTAACAATCAACCACTTTTTTATCGGGCGTGCATTACCCTACAAGTCCGTTGTTACTAAATGAATTATGGTTGATGTCCGCACAATTGGAGCGTTTTGAACAAAGAAGTGAAATATTTGTTTTGGTTACGAGACCAATGAGACAAAAACTAGTCAAATATTTCAAAGAAATGCCACCACTTTTTACTTGCGTCGCGGCATTAAACCCTTGTATCAATGTTACGGGTGTAGAGGCTTTGATTACCAAAATTTTTATGTCTTTAAATTTGCACAAAGATGACTCAAACTACATCCGTAACCAAATACACACTTTTAATAATATTTTTTACTAATTTGTTTGACATTTACGCTACAAAGTATGGCGATAAACTACATCCGTAACCAAATACACACTTTTAATAATACTTTTTACTAATTTGTTTGACATTTACGCTACAAAGTATGGCGATATGTCAAACACTTTTTGTAAGGTCCTAGATGGAAGGATTTTCACCAATGATCAATCAAGCATAAGAAAACAAAGAAGAAATGAAGTAGAAGATGAATGAAACTGAGCTTGCATACGATTAAACACTTGAAACCGTCTGATACAACTCATGGACCGAAAACTAGCAAAGTACAACTCTTTTTCTACCCTGACAGCCTGACACCTATATATACTGACAAGGACCGAAAACAGTTTTCGGTTAGTAGACCGAAAACTGGTTTTCGGTCACACCTTAACCGAAAGCTTCCTAGACCGAAAACATCAAACATACACAAAAGACTCCAAAATACATTGACAAATGTCCTAACTCATCCATACATTGATGCCTAGTCCAAACCATATATATTGGCCCTTCAATCTCCCCCTTGGTTTGGGGCTAGCATGATTCAGTCTTTATCAACCACCAACACGTCTGACTTTCCCATAGCTCCATTCCACATCTCCTTTTCAATAATATCAGCAACCATGGCAGTGTATTCCTTAGCAAAAGACTCAAAAAGGTCTTCAGCCACCTTGATCTGATGAATAGAAAGCTGATGTATATCCCACTTTCCAAACTGTAGCAGATGCCTCTTGTCATATAAACGAATACATCCATGTTTAAGTTTGATAACAGCAGAAGCTATAGTTTCATCAAACACCCAGTATTGCATGGATTGTAGAGATCCATCTGGATGGTTCTGAAGGATAGGAATCTGCTTTACTTTATTAGTAGCGGGCCACATCACAGACCGAAGAGGTTGATTGGTTTTGGGATCAATGACACTCGGGTATACCTTGATGATAGACTCTGCAGTCTTCATTGAGGGAAAGCCCTTTGCCACTTGACCTTCCAAAAATAACCTGAACTGTGTCGCCTTGGGTTCATTTGATGGATTTGAAAAAGGAGCCTTAGACAATTCCGTAAGATCAACCCTGGTCCAAGAGTGGAAGTCGTGAGCATCTTTATACAATTCGGTATTTCCACTCTTCCTTCTTACAATCCACATTTTCAGAGGGTCATGGAATCCCCATGAGATGATCCCAGACCTATCACCATAAACGTCTCTGAAGCGATTTTCTCCAAGATCCGTAAAGGTGATGTTTGGTTGATCCACGGGAGCATTCTGATCCGAGCTCCTCTTGAACAAAAATTGACCCTTCTCAGCAGACTTAGCTAGTTTAGCACGTTTTAACGC